AAGGGAAGGGAAGGGAAGGGAAAGGAGAGGAAAGGAAAGGAAAGGAAAGGAAAGGAAAGGAAAGGAAAGGAAAGGAAAGGAAAGGAAAGGAAAGGAAAGGAAAGGAAAGGAAGAAGGGAGGGGAAGAATGAAAAGAAAATGGAATGGAATGGAACGGAGCGGAACAGAATAATGGAATATGGAATGGAAAGAAAATGGAATGGAGTGAAATGGAATGGAGTTCCTCAACTTTCAAGTATTCCTTTAATGACCATTCAAAGAAACATCAGCATTGATGAGCCTCGATGGCACAGCGGCGAGGGTGCAGTACTGCAAGCAACTCCTACTACAATTTGGCAGTTTGAATCCCACCAGGCGGAAAGTTGACTCAGCCTTCTATCCTTCTGAGGTGGGTAAAATGAGGACCCAGATTGTTGGGGGGGGAAAGACGCTTTTAGAGAGGTCTGTAAAGCACTATAAAGTGGTATATAAGTCTAAGTGCTTATTGCTATTGCCAAAATGCCTGGTTTCTGACTTACGACTGCTTTTCACTCTTACAATCATGGCAGCATCCTCGTGTCCAAGGTTGAGAAGCATTGCCCTAGGGCAGGCCGCGGGTTTCAAACTCACGCCGTCACATTGCCGTCTCGTGATAGATCACAATGGTTTTCCCCTTCATGTGGCCTGCGTGTGAGGCATCCGGCCTGTGGGTCCCCAGTTTGAAAGACCCCCCCTGGCACTAGGCCAACCTGGTCTCCCAACTCCAAACTGGCTTTTTCATGATCAAGAGTCTCTCTCTCCTCTTTTGGAAAGAAATCCCCCCCTTTTTTAACATTTCATGGGAAATCTATTATTGTTAGTGTTACTGTTACTGTTACTGTTACTGCCATCGTTATTGCTATCGTTACTGCTATCGTTACTGCTATCATTACTGCTATCGTTACTGCTATTGTTACTGCTATTGTTATTGCTATCGTTACTGCTATCGTTACTGCTATTGTTACTGCTATCGTTACTGCTATCGTTACTGCTATCATTACTGCTATCGTTACTGCTATTGTTACTGCTATCGTTATTGCTATCGTTACTGCTATCGTTACTGCTATCGTTACTGCTATCTTTACTGCTATCGTTATTGCTATCGTTATCATTGTTGTTGTTGTTGTTATTGTTATTGTTGTTACTGTTGTTACTGTTGTTATTGTTGTTATTTACTTACCCCATGTCCTGAGCATTTTTTCTTAGAATCACAATCATTATTCAGAACATCGTAGCTTTCGCATTTTTGTCTGAGGCAAATCTACAAAGAACAATATTTTTTTCCAGGTTTTAAAACAAGAAATGCTTTTCGAAAGGCTTCGTTTATGGGTTAGTTAGAACTGATGCGCTGCATTTCCTCCGGGAGGTTAAGGCATTGTATTAAAACTCTCTCTGCTCTCGTTGTTCTCCCCCCCACTATAATACTGTGAGGTGCAGCTCAGAGGCGGTGACATGGTGGAAACTCATCGTGAGAACTTGTCCCAAGGGTGCTTTTTTTTTTTATTTTCAGGAGGCAAATTTTTTTTTCCTTTGAAGACATTTCGCTTCTCAATCCAAGAAGCTTCTTCAGCTCGGACAGGAAAATGGGGAATGGAAGGATTTATTTTCTTTGCAGGCCAGGGGTCGGATTCTACTGGTTCGGACCGGTTTGGGCAAACTGGATGTTCAATTTACATCTGGTTCAACCGAACCGGTAGTTAAACCGGCCGGCTGGTTCTGCCCACCCCTCCCCTCCCAAGAGTCTCCATGTGACCCATTTTGGATACAGGTAAATGCAGGGTATGCACAGAGGCTCTGAGAGGGCAAAAAACGGGCCTTCCAGAAGGCCGGAAACAGGCCTGTTTCCGGCTTCCGGAGGGCCTTCAGAACCCAGGGGAGGCCATTTTCGCCCTCCCAGAGGCCCGAGGGAAGCCTCCGGAACCGGGGGAAGGTAAAAAAAACGGCCCTCCTAGAAGTTCCAGTAGGCCACGCCCACCATGGCCACGCCCACCCGGCAACCAGGCAGCGAACCCGTTGCTGGGACGCAAGACAGCGAGTCATTTGCATCCTTTATAGGGTCTCCTGCTTGAGCAGGGGGTTGGACTAGAAGACCTCCAAGGTTCCTTCCAACTCTATTATCGTCATGTTCTAATGAATCTCCATCTCCTAAGCCTCTATTAGGGTACTGATACATCACTGGAAAGATGTGTAACACGTAAGCTCGGAGGCACCCATATTTGACGAATTCTGGACCAACGCTAGGTAGAAAACCAAAGTCTGAAATTCTAGATGGGAAGAAAGGTAGCATTGTAGCTGTTGTTGTTGACTATAATTCAAAATATTGTCATGTGGATGATGACCAGTGACAGATTTTTAGATGGCTGGTCACACAGCCAGATGTTTCCACTGTCAGGATTCCGGCAGTTAGCCCCATTTAAATCATGAGTCTCGAGCCAAACTTCCAAAACTTAAAGAAGGCTTATTGGGAGTTAAAATGTCCAGCACTGCCTGGATGTAGCTGACTCTGAGACACATCATTCAGTGACACTCCTGACCCTGGTTTTCCCCCACACCCCCTGGGCGTATTGTAATTCATATCCTCCAATGGGACACCTCCATAGCCCAGAGTCATCAATCATGCTCTCCAGTTAGAATTTCGCGCAGCAGAAACTTCGGTCACCTAGAAACTATCTTTGAAAACATTTATGGAACGCAAGCTGCCCGCTGTTCCCCCTCCCTTTCTGTTGGCAACTCTAAAAAGTCCAGAGAAATATTTTATGAGTTGACATCATGTAGATGAAATCTGGCAATCTCATTTCATCCAACTGAGATACCCATGATAAGCTGATCTTGTTGTCTGACGGTGTTGTATCAGTATCATCTCAGAAAGCATTATTGTTAATAAATATTATTGATCTATATTGATCGTCGGCCTTTCTCCAGATCTTTGCACTACCAAAATGTGATACGGCCCAGTGCAGAATTAGGATTACTTAGAACATCACTGTCATCATCCTGATCCAAGTGGTTTTCCTTACCTTACCAAGTCCGCATTTTGTTCCCTCTTTCACCATCATAGGGTTCGGTGTGCCATCTGGATGGTTAAGGTCCAAGGACACGCAGACAACGTTCTTCACCGGCATATACAGGACGGGAACATTAAGTTTAGTGTAAGGAGTGTCGTAGGGATATGTGCAAATTAACTTTCCACATTTGAGATCCCTGTAAAATATGAGGTGAAGATGATGAAGATGAAGGGGAAGGGGAAGGGGAAGGGGTAGAGGAGGGGTGGAGAGGGGAGGGGAGGGGAGGGAAGGGGAGGGGAGGGAAGGGAAGGGAAGGGAAGGGAAGAGAAGAGAAGAGAAGAGAAGAGAAGAGAAGAGAAGAGAAGAGA